CCCAGTCTAACTCAGATTGATTACCTGTCCATTATGTGTCTAGCACTTAGGGCCTAGGTCAAATTAATCCCAAAATATAAATGAACTGACTTTTGAAATGTAAATTGCCCTAAGAAAATTATTTTAAAAGAACTTGCCATATTTCAATCTCATCCAGGTAGCCTTTTGGTAATATTATTTGTTTGAGGTCTGCTTTCAGTTCTCTTTTGAATAGATTGTGGAAGGCTTGGAATGCAGATTAGCAGGAAGCTTTGAAAGATTTTCCTTCCTTCTCCTTGCTCCCCCTCTAGGAGTATGTTAAAGCAAAAAGCATGTGTCTTGATTGTTATTCTCTCTTAGGTTTCAGATGAAAATTATTCTTAAGGTTCATATTTCAGACAAAAGCACTTGATACAATTCATAACTGAAGGAGGACTCCATGGGCCTGCGATTTCTAACTTTTCTATAATGTTTGACCCTATGGCAATGAACGCAGTCCATTTTTTCCTGGGACCAGAGACAGTCCTCCTATTGCCATTAATATTCACAATGGCTTTCTTGAAATCTAGAGGGGAGAAAGATATTTAAAATTCAGTAGCACAGTAGACCTTTTTTTTTTTCTATTATTTTTTTCTGTTCCTTCACTCTGTATGTAATATTATAATTGTATTCTCTCCCAGAGTATTGTAAATGGGTTGGCTGTATTTTTGCAGTCTCATCTCTCTGCCCACGTGAAACTTCTTAACTCAGTTTTCTCATCTGTAAAATGAGGAAATTTGACTAGATTGTTTTTGTTGACTTCAGTCACCATGCTGTACATTACATCTCTGAAACTTATTTATTATAACTGGAAATTTGTACCTCTTGTCCACCTTCACCCATTTCAGCATTCCTCACCAGCTTAATTTAGTGAGATTTCATTTCTTTTCCTTAATTTTATATTTTAAATAGATTGTTTTAAAGGGGAGTTGTATTTTTTCTCATACACTTCTAAAATTATTTGAAGCTTGATTTTCAAAACTTGTGATAACATGGCAGTAATCAGGAAAAGGATGAGTGTGCTTGAGAGGTATATAGATTGATACTCAGTTGAGGAGGGATGGGAATTCCTGCTATTTAAGGTCTATTTAGTTGTTTTATTTTACACTGTAGGTAGAAATGCAGTTTGCTGATGTCAGATACCACAGAGGGCCTGTTCTGTGTGAAAATGATTCTTAGGTGCACTTAATTGAATACAACGTTATGTATTAATGACTAACCTGGTAAAGGGGAGGGGGGAGTTGTGTGTGTGTGTGTGTGTGTTTCTTAAAATTTTCTACTGAGTTTTCAGTAACTTTCTACTGGTTATTTCATCCCCTTATCTTTACCTTTTCCTGCCTCCTTGTTACTCCTGTCCTAAAAGAGGCAAATGATGCTCATAAAATTTTATTTTTCAATCATGTTATTCTATTACAGTTGTCTCAGTTTTTCTCCCTTTGCCCTCTTCTACCCATCCCACCCTGCTCCCCCAGTCAATTCCCACTCTGTTGTCCATGTCCATGGGTCATTCATACGTGTTATTTGTTTAGTCTTTCCCTTTCTTTCCACCATTGTCCCTCTACCCCATCCCCTCTGGTCACTTTCAGTCTGCTCCATGTTTCCATGCCTGTGGTTTATTTTGTTTGTTAGTTTATTTTCTTGAATAGATTCCACTTATAAGTGAGATCATATGATTTGTCTTTCACCAACTGGCTTATTTCACTTAGCATAAAATTCTCCAGTTTCATCCATGTTGTCACAAAAGGTAGGAGTTCCTTCTTTTTTTTCCCCCCAATGCAGATATTATTTATTTATTTTAAATGGCAAAATCCATTATAAAATATTAAAAAATTTAAATCCAATATAAAGTCTCAGCAATTAAAACAGCATAACACCAGCATAGAAATAATCAAGTAGAACAACAAAATAAAATGAGCATTCTAGAAACAAACGTATATATCTGTCTAACAACGTAATATATGATTAAATTGAGATTTCAAATCAATGGGGAAAGTAAGGCTTATTCAACAGATAGGATGCATGGACCACTATTACTTGAAATAAAACAAATATAGAGCCCTATTTCACGCATTGTACAAAAAATATTCAGGAGAGTTAAAAATCAATATGTAAAATCTGAGAAGTTTTAGGAGAAAATACATGAGAATATTTTTCTTACCCTGAAGTAAAATATTGAAACCCAGAAGCTATCAAGTAAAATATTGTGACAACATGACTATATTAAACATTTAAGACTATATAGTTATATACAAATAAAAAAAGTTAAAGGACAAATAATAGAATAGGAAAGTATTTGAAACACATCTAAAAAAGTGTTAATAGTTTTTGTTTTTGTATTTTAGGGAAAGATTTTTACAAACAGTCAAAAAATGGATAAAGAATACCAAAAAGTCATAGAAAGCTTTTTAAAAATAATAGAAATAGGAAGGAAATATACAAAAACAGGCTTGATTTCAACAAATAATAAACTAACAATTAAAATAGCACATCATTGTTACAAATCAGATTAATAAGTATTAAAAATATTGGTGATATCAAGTATTGGTGACTGTGAAAGGAACTGGATATTCATAGACTCTTTTTCTTCATCTTCTTAAAGCAGTCCCTTTAGCGTATCTTGCAATGCTGGTTTGGTGGAGGTATATTCTTTTAGCCTTCTTTTGTCTGGGAAACTCCTTGTTTCGCCTTCCATTTGAATTGAGAGCCTTGCTGGGGAGAGCAGTCTTGGTTGCAGGCCTTTGCTTTTCATGACTTGGAATATTTGTTGCCATTCCCTTCTGGCTTGCAGGGTTTCTGTTGAGAAGTCAGCTGCTAGCCATACTGGGGCTCCCTTATATGTTTCTACCTATTTCTCCCTTGCTGCCTTTAGGATTCTCTGTTTTTCTTTGATATTTGCCATTTTAATTATGCTGTGCCTTGGAGTGGGCATCAGTGGGTTCTTCTTGAATGGAATCCTCTGTGCTTCCTTGACTCGTGTGGCTTTTTCTCTCCTCCAATTAGGGAAGTTTTCCATCATTACTTTTTCAAACAGCTTCTCTATCCCTTCCTCCTCTTCTTCTCCTTCTGGTATCCCTATTATACGGATATGATTACGTTTCAGGTTGTCCTGCATTTCCCTCAACACCTCTTCATGCTTTTTGAGTCTTTCATTTTCTTGCTCTTTCTGAGAGTGTTTTTCTCCCTTATCCTCCAGCTCACTGATTCGGTCCTCAGCTTCATCTAGCCTGCTTTTGATTCCTTTTACTGTGTTTTTCATTTCAGAAATTGTATTCTTCCTTTCCTCTTGCCTCCTACTGATAGTTTCTATGTCCTTTTTCATGCCAACATAGTTTGCAGTAAATCTCTTGTAGTTTCCTTGTATTTTTTGGTAATTCTCTTTGCGCTTACTGTGCTTCTGTAGAACCGTTGTTTGGAACTCAATATCTGGTAGTTTACTTGCCTCTATTTCATTTAGTTCTCTTTGTGGGGATTCCTCCTTTCCCTTTGACTGGGGGATGTTTCTTTGTCTTCCCATTATTTGTGAAGCTCTTCTTTTTTGCTTCTGCTTCTTACATTAATCTCTCTTGATTTCCTGACTTTGTGGTGTGAACTTCTATGGTAGGAGACCGCTGTTTGTTTTTTTCTTTCTGGATCTGCCTCTAATGATGACAGCTGTTGACCCTGTCTGACCTTAGCAATCTGTTCGAGACCTCCAGGAATCTACTGTCTGTATCTGTCTCCTTTAACTGTTAATCTAGTCACTCTGCGCTCAGCAGGCCGGCTTAGGGGCACCACAGGGCAGAGCAGAGACCCTCCTGGGGGCAGGGTTATTGTGTCCTTTCACACTGCTGCCGCACAGGGGAGTGGTCTGCTTGAGCAAGATGGCTGCTGTCCTGTAGGGGAGGAGGCAACACCAGAATCTCGCAGGCTACTCTCTCAGTTCTCTCCCCAAAGCCTCCTTCCCCAGTCTCCTCAGGTGTCACTAGCCCACTCTGCCCCCACTTCTGCCAGAGACTGGGCAAGTGGCTGCAAATAAAAATTTATGCGTTGGTCCTTTAAATGGCTCTGTCGTCTCCAGCTGCCAGTCTCTGGCAGAGAGCAACACTGCCACTTTTTGCAGCTGGCTATTATCTTTGTACTTTTTGAGTTCTCATGCTATAGGCTGAAGATCCCCACTTAAGGTGTAGACCTCGCTTTTCTCAGGGGGATCCAACTGCTTGTTTCAATATCCTTATGGTGCTGCTGTCCGTTGGTGCCCCGCCTGCCTTCTCCACTCTCCTTTCCAGTCAGGTTGTGCTAAAGCTGATTCTTCTGTCTCTCCAAGGTTGTCTCTCCTCTCTCGCTGTTGTTCTGTTTGTTCCAGATGATTTCTCCACAATTTAGTTGTGATTCCAGATTGGTCCTGGGATGAGGTAAATGTGACTTCCACTCACTTCTCTGCCATCTTGATTCTCTTGATGCTCAGAAAATTTTTAAAACAATTCGAAATATTGACTTGAAATATTTATCACCTAAGTGGGAAATTTTTATTTATTTATTTTTACTTTAAATTTGCTGTGGTGTCGTTTAGAATGTGTCCTTTTAGTAAGATCACTGAATTCATTTGTAATACATGATCTCAAAAGTTTTGCCTAGACTCAGATTTTATATTTCAAAATGGGCTTCCTATAAATGGATATTGTAGAGAGAATACATTGAGCATTTACTTGAGAAAAGGAGTTCTACTATGAGCTGTTCCTATTTGATACTGTGTAAAAACTTACAATATGATTAGCTTTGGCTTCTTTTCACAAGACACTTAGATCTTTGAGGTATCATAGGGTAGTGAACATAGCAAGAAAGCAGTAGCTTTTGTGACAGAGGTTACTGTGAGAGGTGGCTGGATTTTTGTGCCTGGGCTCTGGTGTGGTGTTCAAACAAGTGATAAAGTATACTGCTGCTTAGTAGCTTGACCACTGAGGCATTTCTTTTTCTCTCTCTTCTCTTATTCATCCATCATGCAGAAGATGAAAAGGCAAAGCGAGAAGTGTCTTCATGGACCCTAGAAGGTGATATTAACACTGACCCATGGGCAGGTTATCGATACACTGGTAAACTCCGACCACATTATCCGCTGGTGAGTAAATAAGGTAATAAAAACTTAACATTCTTTTAAACCAATTTTCTGAGTTCTCATTTTCCTAAAAATGATACCTCTAATTTGTATTCCAGTTATGAATCATATGATCAGGATTAAGTTTGCATTTTAGCTCTTCACTTTTTATGGTACATTATTTGGAAGTTAATAGTGATAATTGGCAATCAGAGAAGTAGAAAAAATTTTTGATGAAAGGATGAAAACTTCTTTAATCTCAGAAAGAAGTAGTAGAATTGATATATTTTTACTGGCATAATGGTGGTGTATATTACTACTTTTCTAAAATTTTTTAACACAGTATGTATTTTGATCTTAATTTTGATAGGGTTTTCCTACCACTGCCACCCCTTTCTGTGTTTTTGTCAGATGATTATCAGGGTGTTAAGATAGGAATCCATTTAAGTTAAAATTTATTTTGTCATCCTTGAATATTTAAATTTTTGTTACAGATTTTCTTTTTAAAATAAAAGGAATCCATCTTTAATATAAAAATTTGGACCAATATCAACAATATAGGACCATCTTTTTAATCCTACCTCCTAGAGATAATGATCAGGAAAATAATGGTATATATTTACTTAGAGACATTATTTTATTGTTGTTGGTGTGCCAGTTTCTTTGGAACAACATGGACCCCTGGTTGTGTGCAAGTGATGTTAAATCCTTAAGAGACTTGGCCACTTTGCCCCTTAGGATATTTAAGTGGTATCAGCACCAGGAAAGTGAAGATTAATCTTTGTGAAATAGCTATATTATGATAATTAAAATGTCATTTAAAACTTTTTTCATTTACGTGAAATGACTTATTAGTGTTTTTCTCCCACTTTTATTTCCTTTGTCAGTAAATTTTAATTATGATAGTTGTTTTCATATTTGAATTGGTTTTAACTAACATACATCTTGGATATTTTTAGATGCCAACGAGGCCAGTGCCAAGTTATATTCAAAGACCAGATTATGCCGATCACCCTTTAGGTAGGTTCTGCTATGCTGATTCTTCAGTTTTCAATTTGTAAGCTTGATGACGTTTGTAAAAGAAAGGAGTGCTTTTTTTGGAGAAATTTTGCAGTGCTGGATTTGTTTCTTATGAGTTTGATTTTTTGTTTTAGTGCTGGATTTCTGATAAGTGTAAATATGGCCTTTACATGTGAGAGAATTAAAGATTCTTTTCTTCCAAGAAATTTTCCCAATTATGAAAACATTGTTTAGATGTTACAGACTACATTCAATATAATATTATATTTTGTGTTGTTATAGGAAATTCTATGATAAATTTTTTTATTTTATTTTATCGTGTCCTCCTACTTTAGTTAAATAAACACACACAGATAGCGGAGGCCTCAGATGAATGCCTAACTAAAGCCTGGAGTGTAGAAGTAATAGTAATAATTATAGTAGAAATGATGATGATTCTATAACTGATATTTCTTATTCGTAACTATGTGTCAGGCACTGTGCTAAGTTCTCAAATAAGTTATTCCTGGGGTGGGTTCTGTTGTCTTTTCTATTTTGTAGATGATGATAGTGAGGCACTCAGAGAAGGTAAATAACTTGCAGTACAAGTGGAGCAGTCTCTGACTTTAGGGCCTATGGATATAACTTAAGTTGGATTATGTGAAATTACTGCTTTTGCATGCCCAAAATGGTTGACTATCAGTATTTTCATGTAGTTAAATCTGTTAAGCTAAGCTGCTGTTGCTTTGTTCTCTAAGAAGTGGGGAACCAATTAAGTGAGGAACCAATTACATTTTATGAATATAATTTAAAAATTTTAGTTACATTTTGTTATTTCAGATACTGGGTTGGCCAAAAAGTGCATTTGGTTTTTTCCGTAAGATGGCTCTGTAGCGCATATTTGTTTTTAACTTCATTCAAAACAATTTTGTTAGATTGTATTTAGACAGCTGTCATATCAGTGTGCATTAAAAAAAACAATCAAATTGGTGAATTTTTGTGTAGCCATTTTAATATTGAAGATGGAAGAAAATGTGCAACATTTTTGGCATATTATGCTTTATTATTTCAAAAAAGGTAAAAACGCAACTGAAACACAAAAAATGATTTGTGCAGTGTATAGAGAAGGTGCTGTGACTGATCAAACATATCAAAAGTGCTTTGCGAAGTTTTGTGCAGGAGATTTCTTGCTGGCCGATGCTCCATGGTTGAGTTAGACCAGCTGAAGAGCATAACGATCAAATTGAGATATCAGTTGAAAATAATCAACATTATACCATGTGGGAGATAGCCAATATACTCAAAACTATCCAAATCAATAAAATTATTGGTGAAAATAAAAAATGTCTTTTATTTTACAGAAAAAACTAAACAAACTTTTTGGCCAACCCAATACATTGAAGGGAAAGATAGTCTGAATGATAGATAGCTCTTGAGGATGAATAATTTCCTTACTCTGTATTTTAATATTTTAAATGTGGTTTTAAAAAATACATGGACATGGTAAATTCTAATACGATAAAATGTTAAACAGAGAAAAGTAAGTCCTACTCCCTAAAGGTATAAGCACAATTAGCAGTTTTTTGCAGAACTTTCCAGAGAGATTTTATGTGTGTACACATACCAGCCCCTCTCCCCAATTATACACAATAGGAACAAACTATATATACCTTTGCACCTTGATATAATCTTTTACTACATCTTATAAATAGGTCCGTGTAAGTCCATAAAACTACATCTTTCTTTTTAATGACACGTATTTTATTGTGTGGATATATAATAATTTATTAAACTAGGCTGCTTCTTCTAATGTGTGTTTAGATTATTGCCAGGTTTTTACTTCTTTGACTGCAGTAACTGTTAGTTCAGTTACATGTTGGGGCACATGCAAGAGTATTTCTGTAGGTTAATTGCCTAAAGTAAAAAAGCTGGATCAAAGAATGCATGCATTTTTTTGTTTTGAGAAATATAACAAATTTTGGAGATTTTGCCAGTTGTTACTTCCATTAAAAACATACAGGAGTCTCTTTTTTTCATCTTCCCCAACAGTAGTGTGTTATCAAACTTTATGATCTGTGATAAACTGAAAGATTAAAGATGGTATTTTGTTGTTATTTTAATTTGTAGTTTTAAAGTATGAGTAAGGTTGAACATCTTTTTATATGCTTAAAGTCATTGTATTTTCTTTCTTTCGAACTGTCTATTCATCTTTACCTTTTTTTTCAATTATGTTACTAGTTTTTCTATACTGATTTATAAGCTATCTTTCTATGCTAAGGAAAATAATCCTTTGATGTATGTGCTATAAATGTTTTTTCCCAATTGAACACTTATATTTTGTCTCTGTTTATAGCATTACATTTATGATACATTTTTAACATTTTTCTCTAATAAATTTATCAGTGTTACCTTTTAAGGTGTCTGTGACTTAATGACCCAGGAAGACCCTTTTGGTTCAGAGATTATAAAAATATTTTTCCATTTTTTTTCTTCCACTGTTTTTATGGTTTCAGTCTTTTTATGTGTGATAAATTTTTTATTGAGTATTAAGAATTAAATACAGATGCAGCTTTTTCTCCCCCAAAGAGTATCTGGTTTTCACCACTAGTTATTTAAAGTACTTTTTTCCTATTTATTTAAAATGAAATCAATAGGAAAATCAAGTGTTAAATTTAATATAATGATATTAAATTAACAGGTCTTTGAGTCTGTTTTTGGATTATATTGTTTTATTAACCCATTTGTCTAATCATGTGCCATTGCCAAACTCTTAATTAGAATACCTATATAATGTTTTAATATTTGGTAGGCCTTGTTGCCCCTACCTTTCCTCTTTTTCAGACTTTTCCTGGCTATTCTTGCATGTTTGTTTTTCCATGTGAAATTTGGAATCAGCTTGACTGGTTCCCCAAAATATCCTGTTGCCATTTTTTATTGGGATAGTATTAAATTTGTAGACTAATTTTGGAAGAATTGACACCTTTACAATATTGAGGCTTCCTATCCAAGAACAGGGTATGTTTTTCTGTTTTATTTAAGTCTCCTTTTATGTCTTTCAGTGGTATTTTAAAATTTTTCTTCATTAGGTCTCTTACTACGTTTATTCCTGGATACTTTATCTTTTTTAGTTTTTCTTAAATATTATCTTCTGTATTTTCGAGCTCATTTTGTTTGTATATTGGGAAGTTACTGATTTTGACATATTTATTTTATAATCTGCCACCATGCCAGGGATCCCCTTATTCTAGGGAAATATATCATATCTGAAATTGATAAAGATTTTGTTCTTTCTAGTTTATATGTTTTATTTCTTTATCTTGTTTAAATACCTGCTAGTACCATCAGGACAATGTTAAATAGTGGTGCTGTTAGTAGGCATTCCATGATTTAGGTTCCTGGCTTGAGATTTTTAGTTATCATGCTGGCCATGTTATCAGAATTATCCTTCTAGATGATCTTTTTTTTTTTTTTCCCCTTTCTTAATCTATGGCTGTGGTGAATTCATAGATTTGTTAATATTGAACTATCTTTGCATTTGCAAAATAAATCTCACTTCAGTCAAGATATATTATATGTATCTTGGATTCTGTTTAATAATATTTGATTTGGGATTTTTATATCAGCATTTATTTAAAAATATTAGTATGTTCTTTTTGTCAGATTTTGAAATAGTATACTGGCTCTAATTTTTAAATATATATGAATGATAAGAGTTAAGGTAATTTTATTAATGAAGATTCTTAGGGTAATATTTTTCAATACTTTTTACTATAACCCAGAGGGAGAAATATATTTTATAATAATGATCTGTGTGTATGTGTGTGTGTGTGCACGCGCGTGTGTGTGTGTGTGTGTGTAAATTAACAAACATTTCACAACAGCACTTACCCATACCATACATACTCTATGTATGATATAAGCTAACGTTTTCTATTTCACTTATTTACTTTAAAAAATACTAGTCATAGCCCACTAATAGGTAACAAACAGCAGTTTGACAAACACTGACTTAGGTTCCTATTTTAAAAAAATAAATATGTGTAATTGATTCATCAGTTGCTGGTGCATAGTTTCATTATGAGATGATGATCATGAATGCAGTGTGTAAATTGTGTGGTGCTATTTAAATGTGAATCATTTACTGATCTTATAAGCACATTGCCTAGCATATAGTAAGTACTCCATATAACCTGAATTCTAATAGATCTGTAAATTTGTTCTTTAGAATTCTTTCTTCACTTTACTTAGCAATTTTCTTTTTCATGGTGAAAATATTTCTTTTTTTTAAATCTGTCCAGGATCCTCCTAAATTATGAAATACCATTGTGTGAAATAATGGAACTTACTGTGTCATCAGGGAGATAACTATGCCTAAAACTACATCTTCCTGTTCATTTCTTTTTCCTTACTGATTTTCCTTTACAGGAATGTCTGAATCTGAACAGGCTCTTAAAGGTACTTCTCAAATTAAATTACTCTCATCTGAAGATATAGAAGGGATGCGACTCGTATGTAGGGTAAGCACTTTTTTTTCCCCTCATGGTCTAGGACACCTTAAGCAGTTATTCGACATGAAGTCAATGACTTGCTGATACACAAAGGGCAGACATGTTATGTTGTAAGGCTATAACTAGCCATACTTACTGGGTTGGCAAAAAAAAAAAAAAATGCTTTTAGTTTTTTCCCATGAAATAAGACATATTTTTCATTTTCACCAATAACTTTATTGATTTGGATATTTTGAGTATGTTCAGCTGTCCTCTGCTATTGGCTTCTAGTGGGTAGAAGCCAATGTGCTGCTAAATATCTTCCAGTGCTTAAGACGGCACCACAGCAAAGAATTGTTTGGCCAAAATTTCAGTACTACCAAGAAACTCTACAAACCACTTTTGACATGTTTGATCAGTTAGAGCACTTTCTCCACACACTGTACAATTTTTTACTTTTGCATTTCAACCTTCCTTAAAATAATGAAGCATAACACACCAAAAATGTTGCGTATTTCCTTCTGTCTTCAGTATTATAATGGCTACACAAAAATTCACCAGTTTTGATGTTTTGAAAAATGCACACTGTTATGACAGCTGTCACAATACAGTCTAACAAAATTGTTTAGAATGAAGTTAAAGACAACTAACTAAGCACAACTATGGGAAAAACTAAATGAACATTTTGGCCAGCCGAATACTTTCCATGAAACTTTTGTTAGTATATAATTCTGTGCAACAGTTGTTTTCTACTTAAATAGCCTATTTGAAAATTAATATGGCAGAAAATATATATTTAGTTGAGAATCTATTTGTTACTGCTTGTACTTTTTTTTAAAGAACCAGGTTTTTATGACATTTTGTTATTTTATTTTCACAAGTCATTATAACCTACGGCAGAGGTTAAGGCTTATATAAAGTTAAGCTAAAACTCCTGTTGTGAAATACCTATACAGTGTAGTATTAGTGGCTAAGTGAAGTCACATGTTCACATTTATTTAAGGAAAAAATTTAAGAATTGATATTGTTTATCTAGAAATTATCCTTAAAATTTTTACTCAGTCCTTTAACGTGGTTTGATACTAACTTTCTTTGATAATCTGCAGAAATTTATATTTCTGTCATTATGTGCTGTGATTCTTTGAGGAAAATCATTCATGTATTCTTTTATTTCCCTTCTTTTCCTCATTATGAAGAACATATGAAGGGACTCAACCTCCATTAGCTGATCATTGTTTAGACTACTTATGATGTACATTTTCACATAGAAATCAATCAAATTTATTCAGCTATTTACTAGTTAGTCCAGTTTTAGTTATATATTTACACATGTATTTATTGATGGGCATTAGAAATACAAATGGTTTTTAAAATGGAAATTCAGGATTATAATATTCAAGGTGAGATGGCACTTTATAAATTTCTCACAAAATCTCTGATAATGCGGAGGGTAACAGTTTCCACTTTTATTTCATTTCTTTTTGAATGCATTAAGTGTTAACGGTTCCTCTTTTGCAGCTTGCTAGAGAAGTACTGGACATTGCTGCGGGGATGGTTAAACCAGGTGTGACTACTGAAGAAATAGATCATGCTGTACACTTAGTAAGAATTTACTTTTATGCTTTGAAATTTTTTCACATTTATGTTTTAGAGTTCTAAATGTTAAAGTTCCGAGTATCTAAAGTAACTTGGCTGTTAATTTGAAAGCAAATTTTTATGTTGTTTCAAATATGAAAAATATTCAACAGTCATTATTCCCATCGTTAAGTGTCTGTGAAATACTTTGTTTCTGAAACCTCCCATTTTATAACATTTTAGTTTCGCTTTTAAAAATGATTGATTTTATTAGTGCATGAAGTAAATCATGCCACTATATACATCACATATTCTGAAATAAAAAGAATACAAGTTCTGAAACTGGATTAGTGTGGAAAAAAAGTTCCTTTTCATATCCATAGTAATAAGGGTGTAAATAGACCAAATATAGGGTGGGGCAAAAGTAGGTTTACAGTTGTGATTGCATGAAACAGTTCATTCTTGGATTATTATTTATTAATTATTGTTTTCCATATGAACAACTGTAAACCTCCTTTTTGCCCCACCCTGTATTTGTAGTAAATATGGTATAGGGATATCTTTTTCGTGTGTGGTTTCTTTTTATTTCTTTTTATTTATAAATCATGTTTATTTTATTACAGTTGTCTCAGTTTTTCCCCCTTTACCCCCCTCCACCCATCCCACCCCCACTCCTTACTCCCACAGTCAACTCCCACTCTGTTGTCCATGTCCATGGGTCATTCATACATGTTCTTTGTCTAGTCCCTTCCCCTTCTTTCCACCATTGTCCTCTTTCCCCATCCCCTCTGGTCACTTTCAGTCTGCTCCATGTTTCCGTGCCTGTGGTTCGTTATGTTTGTTAGTTTATTTAGTTGAATAGGGTCCACTTATAGGTGAGATCAAATTGTATTTGTCTTTCATCAGTGGGCTTATTTCACTTAGCTTAATATTCTCCAGTTCCATCCATGTTGTCGCAAAAGGTAAGAGTTCCATCTTTCTCTCTCTTTCTTAAATGCAAATTCATTTTATTTATTTTTTTATATGTCAAAGTTAATTATAAAATATTAAAAATATTTAAAACCATTATAAAGTCTCAGTAATTAAACGAACATGACACCAACACAGAAATAATCAAGTAGATCAATGAAATATAATGAGCATTCTAGAGACAAATGTATGTATCTAACAATATAATATATGATTGAGTTGATATTTCAAATCAATGGGGAAAATAAGACTTATTCAACAAACAAGGTGCATGGACCACTATTCCTTGAAATAACACAAATATAGAGCCCTATTTCACACATTATACAAGAAATATTCAGGAGAGTTAAAAATCAGTATGTAAAATCTAAGAAGTTGTAGAAGAAAATAGAACTAATATTTTTCATGACCTGAAGTATTCAACCCCAGAAGCTATAAAGTAAATATTGACAATATGACTATATTAAACATTTAACTATATAGTAATATACATACAGAAAAATTTAAAGGACAAGGAATAGAACAGAAAAGTATTTGCAACACATCTAAAACATGGTTAATAGATTTTTTTTTTTATTTTAGGGAAAAATGTTGGACAAACCTTTAATCAATAAATGGATAAAGAATACCAAAAAGTCCTTTAAAGCTTTCATTAAAAAAATAATAGAAATAGGCAAGAAATATACTAAAACAGGTTTAGTTTCAACAAAAAGTAAAGGAACAATTAAAATAACATCATTGTCACAATCAGAATAATGAGTATTAAAAATATTGGTAATATCAAGTATTGGCAATTCTGAAAGGAACTGGGTAATCATAGAAACTTTTTCTTTACCTTAAAGAAGTCCCTTCAGCATATTTTGCACTGCTGGTTTGGTGGAGGTGTATTCTTTAGCCTTCTTTTGTCTGGGAAACTCCTTATTTCGCCTTCCATTTTAATTGAGAGCCCTGCTGGGGAGAGCAGTCTTGGTTGCAGGCCTTTGCTTTTCATGACTTGGAATATTTCTTGCCATTCCCTTCTGGCTTGTAGTGTTTCTGTTGAGAAGTCAGCTGCCAGCCACATCAGGGCTCCCTTATGTTAACTACCTCTTTCTCCTTTGCTACCTTTAGGATTCTCTGTTTTTCTTTGATATTTGCCATTTTAATGATGATGTATCTTGGAGTGGGCCTCATTGGGTTCCTCTTGAATGGGACCCTCTGTGCTTCCTTGACTTGCGTGACTTTTTCTCTCCCGCAGTTAGGGAAGTTTTCCATCATTACTTTTTCAAACAGATTCTCTATCCCTTCCTCATCCTATTCTCCTTCAGGTATCCCTATTATATGGATATTATTACATTTCAGGTTGTCCTGCATTTCCCTCAACACCTCTTCATTCTTTTTGAGTCTTTTTTTCATTTTCTTGCTTTTTCGGGGAGCTTTTTTCTACCTTATCCTCCAGCTTGCTCATTCAGTCCTCAGCTTTATCTTGTCTGCTTTTGATTCCTTCTACTGTGTTCTTCAATTCAGAAATTGTATTCTTCATTTCCTCTTGCCCCTTATTGATAGTTTCTATGTACTTTTTCATGCTGATACAGTTTGCAGTAAGTTCCTCATTATTTCCCTGTAGTTTTTTGTAATTCACTCGGAGCTCACTGAACTCATTGAGCTTCCTTAGAACCATTGTTTGGAACTCAATATCTGATAGTTTACTTGCCTCTGTTTCATTTAGTTCTCTCTTTCTGGGGATTGCTTCTTTCCCTTCGAATGTGGCGTATTTTTTTGTCTTTCCATTATTTGTGAAACTCTTCTCTTTTGCCGTTGATTTTTAAGTTGATCTGTCTTGATTTCCTGATTTTGTGGTGTGAACTTCTATGGTTGGAGACCCCTGTTTTTACTCTCTGGATCTGCCTCTTATGATGTCAGATGTTGACCCTGTCTGACCTTAGACAGTCTGTTCAAGACTTCCAGTAATTTACTGTTTGTGATTCTCTCCTTCAGCTGTTAATCTAGTCACTCTGCACTCAGCCTGCCTTAGACAGCTCAGGGTGGGGCCGACCTCTCCTGGGGGTGGGGTTATTGGGCCCACTCACCCTGCTGCCGTGTGGGGGAGGAGTCCGCACTGGGATCCAGGTGGCTACTCTCTCCGTTCCCTCCCCAAAGCCTCTGTCCCCGGTGTCTCCTCAAGTGTTGCCAGTCATCTCTACGCCCCTTTTAGCCAGGGGTCTACTGCCTGTGGCTGCCACTCTGCACTCAGCAGGCAGCTTAGACAGCACAGGGTGGGGTGGAATCCCACCTGAGGGCGGGGCTTTTGGGTTCTTTGATGTTGGTGCTACTCAGGGGGAGTGGTCTCTGCCTGAGCAAGATGGCTGTTGCCACATGGGGGATGAGTCAGTACTGAGATCCCACTGGCTACTCTCTCAGGTCTCTCTCCAAAGCCTCCTTCCCCAGTCTCTCCTTAGGTATCTGTAGCCCAATCTGCCCCTACCTTTGCCAGAGACAAGGGTAAGTGGCTGCAAATAAAAATTTATGCATTGGCCCTTTAAACATTTCTTTGCGTCTCCAGCCACCTGTCTCCAGCAGAGAGCAACCCTGCCAATTTTCTCAGTGGCTGTTTTCTGTGTACCTTTTGGGCTCTGGTGCTGTGGGGAAAAGTGGGGAAAAGAGATCCCCACTTTTGGTTTAGACTCCTCTCTTCTCAGGGGGATCCAGCTGGCCGTTTCAATATCCTTTTGGTGCTCCAACCCTGGGCTACCTACCTGCCTTTTCTCAAGTTTTTACCGCACTCCTTACCAGTTAGATTGCACTAAAGCCGATTCTTCTGTCTCCGAGGTTACAAGGCTCCTTTCTCGCTATTGTTCAGTTGTTTGTTCCAGGTGACTTCTCCACCATTTAGTTGTAATTCCAGGTTGGTGCTGGGAGGAGGTCAGTGTGACTTCCACTCACTCCTCCCCAATCTTGATTCTTTTTTTTTTTTTTAAATAAAGATTGCTTATCCATTAAGGAGAGACCTTAAAACCCTATAGTAGATGAGTTATACGAATTATACGAATTATATACATTACACACATTATACGAATAATTGTTCACAAAAGGAGAGGAATAAGTAGTTAATAAATCACGTGGAAAACTAATTAAACTTGCTCTGGTCATTAAACAAATAGAAATCATAAAGATCTACTAAATTAGTAATTATTTTTAAAAATGTTTCTATCCACTGCCTATGTGGGGATGATGAAATATGGTGGTATTGTAAATTGGGACAACCCTTTTGAAAGGAAATTTGACAGTGTGTCTTGAGTGTAAAAATGTTTTTAAAGGCTTTATATTCAGAATGTTGTAAATCCTGATTTTTTGGTTATTGTTCTATACGTTATAAAACACGTAGAATGCAGTAATAGCACTTTGAGTACTTCGATGGGCCAGGTGCTCTTTTACTAACTCATTTAATATCCTCAACAGATCCACGAGGTAGCTACTACTAGCATCTCCATTTTATAGATAAGTAAACTGAGACAAAGAGAGGTTAAGTTGCCTAAGGTTGGTACACAGCTAGTGGTGGAGTTGGCATTTTTAGTCAAGACAGTCTGCTGTAAGAAATATAGAAGTATATTGTTAAGCAAGGGAGAAGTGATATTTATGTGGTTATTGGCAAGGAGTAAATATGTTTTGCACATAACTTAATATAAATTTCCAAAATTATTCCATATTCTGCAAATTGTTATATGTGACTATTTAAAAATTATTAATCTAAAGACTGACTGCCACTGTTTAAAAAAATATCTTAAAGTAAAATAAGACTTGTTATGGAAAACCAGACCATTTTATTAGAGATTTCTTTGTTGTACTTGGATGTAGTGAAGTACTTTATCATGCCTTAATGATACTAGTATTCTTTTTTTTTGTTCATAGAGGGAATATAGGGTTGTTTTTATGTAAGAAATTTTAATTACATTAAAAGTACGTAAGTTAATATTTATCCTTTTCTCTCAAAATAATATATTTTAAGTAGTTAATTCTAAACTAGAATCTTCATGTTTGCATATGTAATATGTAAATTTGCCTTGCCTTTGCTATGATCAGTAAACTGGTTTGCCTACAGTCTGACTGGCATAAATCCTATTATATACTGTGTAAGATAAAAAATAAGGCTATTTCTAAAATAAAATATTAAGCAAATTCTTCATTAATAACATCTGCACAGCAAAATTTTCAGTTTTCAAATTTTAAAATCTGGTTAATTGCATAAGATTAATTTTTTTTTATACATTCCAAATTATTTTCTGGGTATTTTCGTTTATTGTAGGCATGCATTGCAAGAAATTGCTATCCTTCTCCTTTGAATTACTATAATTTCCCAAAGTCTTGTTGTACTTCAGTGAATGAAGTGATTTGTCATGGAATTCCAGACAGACGGCCCTTGCAAGAAGGTGACATTGTTAACGGTAAGATACATGTGTGACTTTTGTCACCATGAGCAAAGAAATGGTGAGGTTTGGGGCGTCTGACAGTGACTGGTATTTTTCTTCACTTCCGGTCTTTAACTTATCCTTTTCATATGTAAAATTTTAAATCTTAAACCTGTGGAATCTTTTTTTATGGTCTTAAAATATTTCTAGTATGATGCATTTAGTACAGCATGTATTTCTTTAATGCAGATTATTTCATGTAATTGCTAAATATATCGGTGAAATATGGGAGTAATTTTGATTCAAGTGGGATTTTTTTTTCCTTTTTCTTCTGGTCCACTAATTATTTTGAATGAGCTCAGGGCAGGCATTCTTGAAGATAAAGATAAATCTTTAGTAATATGTGAAGACCTTAAGGAAAAACTAAAAATCCTGCAGAAATGCCTTTCTTCATGTAAGAAGTTAAGCTGTCTTGGGAAGCTGCAAATGCAGAGGAAGAAGCTACCCAGACATTTTCCTCTGTGATTTAAAAAACAAACAAAAAAAAAGATGAAGAAGGCTTCCCTGTATGGTATTGAGTTTGAGTTGACCAAAAAGTCTGTGTAGTTTTTTTCTATAAAATATAAGACACATTTTTTTATTTTCATCAATAACTATTGATTTGGATGTTTTGAGTATGTCGGCTGTCTCCCGCATGGTATAATGTTGATTGTTCTCAACTGATGTCTCAATTTGATTGCCATCCACTTCAACTGGTCTTACCTGATCATGGAGCATCATCCAGCGAGAAATCTTCTGCACGAAACTTTGGGAAGCACTTTTGACATGTTTGATTAGTTACAGCATGTTCTCCATACACTGCACAAATTTTTTTCTGTTTCAGTTGCGTTTTTACCTTTTTTGAAATAATAAAGTATAATATGCCAGAAATGTTGCTTAGTTTCTTCCGTCTTCAGTATGAAAATGGCAACACAAAAATTTACTAGTTTTGATTCTTTTTTAAAAAAATGCACACTGATACACAATACAGTCTAACAAAACTGTTTCAAATGAAGTTAAAGACAAGTAAGCACTATAGAACCATTTGCGGAAAAAACCAAATGAACTTTTTGGTCAACCCAATATTTTTAATGTTGATGAACCTGGTCTCTTTAGTTATCCAGCATCTTCAAGGACCTGCATATCAAATGAGGCAGAGTGAACCCAAGTGTTGAAGGCTGCATAGAATGTACCAACTGTGAGGTGGCTGTGAATGATAGTGGAGACAATTTTTATTTGGATTGTTACTGCTTTAGTTAGGGTATCTGTTTATAAACTTCCATAGGTTTTGTGGGGTCTGCCCAACCCTGTTTTTCATATCAGTCCAGTTATTTATGTCATGTATAATGTGTGAGGTTTTTTAGGGATGTGTGTATTGTGCTAGAGCCAGCCCACCTGCACTGTGATATTGTAGGTTGACTGAAATTTCATTATTAAAAAAATACTCATTTAATGTGTTCTCTAGTATACATTTAATGTATTATACTGGTGTTTCCTCCTCTGTATTTCTTAAACATGGGAACAGAGAAGGATGAATACTCACAAATAAGTGAAAGACAAATATGTTCTTGAAAAATAAGTGAAGAATAGTATACGTTTTTCTATTTATTGATTCATCCCGAGGAGGAAAAAATGGTTTCAGATAATAAATTAAAGCAGTATTCTCTGTTTAATGTCAAATCTAGCATAGTCTTCCATTTAATTTCACTAACTCAGGTTATTGATCTTGCATGAATGTATCTTGGATGCATTTTCCTTTTGCCATAAATGATCTGATTACTGCTTTATAAGAATATATAAAAGCCCACCATCTGGCATGTGCTGCATGACCATGTCCCTGTTCTTCACAGTGAGCTCAGTTGCATTACAGGTAAGAGTGCCTATCAGGCTGTGACTGCATGTCCATTGGGGTCTAATCTGAGAAAGCAGAAATTATCTTTTTCATTAAACTGTTTGATGCTGTCATGTTGGAAAAACGACTTAAGTTTTGAAATAAAAACAAATGTGGTTTTTATATTTGCACATTCTTTTGCAGTGGACATCACTCTTTACCGCAATGGTTATCACGGAGACCTGAATGAGACGTTTTTTGTTGGAGATGTGGATGAGGGAGCACGGAAGCTGGTTCAGACTACATATGAGTGCCTGATGCAAGCCATTGACGCAGGTCAGCCAAGCTGGGCACCCCCTGAAACTGCTGTGTGTTGATGGGTCTTTAATGACTTGTCGCACACTGGGCATTCCTGTCCCTGCCGGGCTTTGCCTCTCCCCAACCTGAGTTAACTTTGGGTTTTCATAGTAATTGTGTAAGGAAGATTTGGGAGCCCTTGATAAGGACAGACTGAATGATTGCTTATTGTCGTTGTCTCATGTGATTTATCTTTCTTTGGTTGATAGATTAGGAGGAATGTTTGGATAGTTCTTGAGTGTAAATTTTATCCTACTTTTTTATTCTTTCATAAGTGTTACATTCTCATAAAAAACTAAAACAAGATGCTAGATTATGTGGGGAAGATGTGTGATTCTCTTTATACTTGCCTCTTTTCCTTTCTTTTTTATATCTCTTTTCTCCAGAGGTATTCACTTTTAACAGGTATTTTCCTCCTCTGTGCGTGTACACAGACACACACACACACACACCCCATGTATGCATTTAGTTAGGATAAATGGAATTGTAATATTTACAGTATTCTGTAATTTGGTACTTTTTAACTAATAATACCTAGGAATCTTTCCAAATTAGCATATGTACATATATGCATTCTTTTTTTTTAAGATTTTATTTTTAGAGAGAGGGTAAGAGATGGAGAGAAACATCAATTGGTTGCCCCTCGCAGGCCCCCATCCAGGGACCTGACACATAACCCCCAGGCATGTGCCCTGACCAGGAATCGAACTGGCGACCTTTTGGTTCACAGGACAATGCCCAGCCCACTGAGCCGCACTAGTCAGGGTGCATTCTTTATAATATATTTTTTCTTTTGAATCTGCACCCAAGATCTGTTCATTGATCTGCGAGAAAGAGAGAGAAGCATCAGTTGGTTGCCTCTTGTATGTGCCCTGGCTGGGGTTCAAACCCACAACCTTTTCGTGTGTGGGATAATGCTCCAAGTAAACCAGTTGGCCAAGGCTACTGCATTCTTTTAATGGCTTATGTACTCCATAATATAAAAATTTCTACAACTATTCCCCTATTGGATTTTTGTGTTTTCTAGATGTCTTGCTATTATAATGAATATCTTTTGGTAGGGATGTATTTCTGTAGGATTTTTCTCAGTCTTTCTTTGTCCATACAAACAGTTCATCCAGATTTTTCATTTGTTTGTTTATGCTTTAGCCTGTGAGGAGAGAGAAGGAAAGTCTTATTGGAAATGTTAACAGTCTGTTACCAAACAGGGTAGTTTGAGGGCAAACAACTTCCAGTTGAAATCCACAGCATTTCAGCTTTATTGTTAAGTGTTTTATCTGCTTCCCTCCACAGCCACTCCACCGTACCACCCACCCCTCCGTCCCCCAAAAATAACCCTGATCTATCATCAACAAAGTATTGGACAGGACAAGATTCTTTGGCAAACATATAGTTACCTCTAATTTAACAGGCATGGGAGATGATGAAATTTTTACTAATTTAATGAAGTTGGAGGAATGAAAAATGAAAGCATGTGATGTTTTTGTTATCAGTATGTGTGAAATTTCTTTTTATGTATTCACTGTTGATTATTAAACTACTTTAATGTTCCTGGTGGTATTATGAGGTGAGAACTTTAGTGTTTAGTTTCTCATTTGTGGAAGCTTTAATTTGAAATAATTGTTAGGGTTTGTGCTAGATAATATGTTCAATGTTTATATCCTTTTTGCTTCTCTCTGAGTTGATTGAAATAACCAGGCAGTTGAAATGTTTTACAAAGACATAGGAATGAATCTTGCCAAGAAACTACCAGAAACCAAAGTTATCATAACATAGGGCAGAAAAGAACCAAAGTTGCTTAATCTCTGGAAGGCACTAAATACCTTTGTATGAATCGTTACTGCCCTATTTTTCCACCCATTTGGCTGCTCACCAAGGAGTAGAGCATTGGAGAGCTTGACCAGGTGTTGAAATTAGTCTTGTGGAATGGGGTTTGTCAGCCTACACATTAATGGCATTTTGAATCTGATCATTCTTTGTTTTAGGGGCCTGTACATTGTAGGTTGCCAAGTAGCATCCCTGGAATCTACCTGCTACGTGCCATTTGCACCACCACTCCTACTTGTGGCAACCAAAATCGCCACAGATTACTTAATAAGTGCACCTATGGGACCAGATGTGCCTCCACTTTGATAATTAGGGAGAAATCGCCTCTTTCATTGTCCCTCATTATTGATGAACAGGGATTTTCTTTATTTTATACTGTGCAACATGGGTTACCATTTTGCTTTTCTTCCCATTGTCTGGGGCTGATAGGAAGGCTTGAATTGGAGTGCAATAATACCCTTAACGAAAGTCAGCAGGGTTCTTCAAAATCATTAACACCCCCCACCCCCACCAAAATGTCAACCTGGAACACCTGGGTAAGAGCAAGTAAATGTTAATTAAAATGAATTCTTCAGCTATTTGCCCAGAAATTTGATTGGCTGGAGAAGATACGTTGTACCTGAACTTCATGTTGGAAATCGGGCAGGGTAGGGGGCTAGGAAGTTAGAGGACCCCCAGAGCCATGGCTAGATTCCCCAGGGGTCTGGCAGGACCAGTGCCAGAGGTCTCAGTGCCAGGAGAGCCATACAACAATGAGAACCACTCCTTTTGTTTTGGTTTTTATTGAAACAGAAGTAATAGTCATAAAAATTAAACAAAGTAGGAGGTGTGTACTAGTGAGAAGTACCTTTCTATATCCTACCCCCAGAGGCAACTGTGAATAATTTGAGAACCACTTTTATGGGGAGGAAGAAGCCCCGAGGATGTAATTCTTTGAGGAGTTGATGAGAAGAGACTGAAACTCAGGACAAGTCAAGTTACTTTTTGGACATTTCTTTTTCTCCTGATGCTCCTCTCTCATCTCTTCTGCTCACTTTAATAGAATAGCACACTTGACCTTAGCGAAGGAGAGAAGAAGTGTGTTTTCCATTCTCTTATTCAGAAAGCAAAAGGTGGCTCTCCCCATTTACTGTATGCATGTGGTCCTTTTACACATCGAAGGAGGAAGTGCATGCACTGCTGGTCTGAATTGTACCTTTGCCACATACTGCTAGAATATCCTCTCTGTGCCTGGGTTTTCTCATCTGAAGGTTTCAGCATGTAGGCTTCTAAAGCATATTTAGAAGGGTTCCTGACACATAGATAAGTAATTGCATAGTAAATATTAGTTATTATTACTGTTTCATAAGTCTTCTCTTTCTCTTTTAGTGAAACCTGGTGTTCGATACAGAGAATTGGGAAACATTATTCAGAAACATGCACAAGCAAATGGCTTTTCAGTTGTTCGAAGCTACTGTGGGCATGGAATCCATAAACTTTTTCATACGGCCCCCAATGTACCCCACTATGCCAGTAAGTACTGTCCAAAGATATCTTGTATTTGCTAACCATTTATTCAACAAGTATTTATTCAAACATTTAACAAGGCCTGTATATTTGCTCTAACATAGTAGGTGTTCATATGTTCGTCTTGTTCACATAGCATCGCAAAGCATGTGTGTTTGGTCACTGTCGGGGTGGGACAGGTAGTTATTCTGTGACTTAGGCTCTGTTGTTTTCAACCTAAAGCTTTCAAGATCACTTTGGGAGTTGCCCTTATAATCTTTCGATACTGGGGAGGAAGGGGAGAAGCATGGAAGGGTGTGCTTGGGAGGTTTTAATGAGTCAGCCTAGAATTGGGATAATCACTTACATTTAATTTTCATTGGCAGGAATTTAGTCACATGGCTATAATAACTGTGAGGGAGGTTAGGAATATTAGCTGAGTACTCTGGAAGAAAAGAACATTTTGGTGAACAGCCAACAGTCTCTGCTGCATATCTATTCTGATTCCTTAAATGAGATTGGTTCACCTTGGCTTGACTTGAGTTTTTAGTGTACATCAGATCCTGTACTATTTGTTGGTATAAATAGAGCAGAATAGACAGAGTACCTTCCCTTCAAGTTGAGTGCTGTCTCATAGAATAACAAAGGAAGTGTAGGACAATTAGTGTCTTCCAGAAACCTTTTTTCTTAGATATGTAAGACATGCAAGAATAAGTCTTGTTATTTAGTGCTAGAAATGAAAGCTGTTCACAGCAAGTGACCTTAAGAAGGAATTTAACAATTATATTTATGAGCCATTGCTACATAGGCACTTTCGTGTATCTCCTTGTACTTAAGTTTTCTCATTTGTACAATAGTAGGGGAATGGCTGGCACCTACCCTGGAACTGTTATTAGGATTAAGTCAGATATTTTTACATGGAAAGCACTTAATATTAACTTTTAGAATGGTGATTATACATTATCAGCAATTTTCAGCTGGTGTGCCTCAAGAATTTTTAAAACACGCAATACCTATTTAATCAGGGGCAGTGACCTCTTTTCCCTTAGATTGTCAAATAAAACAATGACAACAATCAACACAGTAGCTGTCCAGTGTGAATGCCCTGTCTTGAACCATAAATATATAGGCCATATAACTGAGTTGCATCTCATGTTGCATGATAAGGTTGTGTCTGATTGGTTAATTCTTAGTATCGGAAATCCTCATGTACAAGTATAGACACCTGATATTTTCAAAAGTCTCTTTAGAGCAAAAAGGATAGGTTATTACTATTATTTTTTCTTATAAATGAATCAAAATTATACCTCCATTTTTGTGAGATCAGCAAAAAAATGTATTTTTTGTGTACCACAGTTTTAGTAATGAGTTTATGTGTGCCATGAGATGAAAAAGGTTGAGGTTTACTGCCTTATCTCATTTGATCATCACAACTCTATGCATAATTTTTTAGCCCTGTTTTGAAAAGCAGATTCTGTGCTTAGAGAAGTAATTTAATTTACTCACTTCACACAAACTAGTAAATAAACGCCAGAGCTAGAATGTGTACTTGGCTTCTCTCTGGCTTTCTAGAGTCAGTCTTCTCCTGTTCCTCATGCTGCCTCGTAAAGATTGAAGCATTTGGCACTCGGTCCTTTGAGAGAAATAAAGAATGGCTGAGATTTGGTTTGGTGAAGAAGATGAGCAAGAGCATTCCAGGTAGAGGGGAAGGAAGCATGCTGAGACTGAACAGAGACAATAGAGGCCTGGCTCAGTATTCTGTGTGTTATGTACCTAGGAATAGACAGGACCAGCCCGAGGATATTTGACTATGTGTAGGGATTTTCAGAAACATTTTTTGGCAGAGGAATGGCAAGGTGAAGATGCTGTTTTGGGCAGGCTGATTTGGGCAGTGGTTATCTAAAATGAATTGGAGGTGGGCACTGATGTCACTAGTCACCCCATGCACAGCGCAGTGGGGTGCCAAGGACCTAGACATCCATAGTTTTGAAGAGGAAGGGAAATGAGTGAGAAACGACTTAGCAGGAGGAGCTGAAGAGGTCATTTACAAGTGCAGCATTTGGCATAGATCAGTAAGCGTTTATTAGCAGACCATGTAGGTGTTTTTTTGTTTTTTAAATTAAAGCTGTGAACTGTGCTTGAAATAAAGCTAGTAACAGAAAAATAGCTGGTGACTTCATTCCTTCCTGGTAAGCCCTGTAATCAGCTGATGTGCGTTCTCTTAGACAGAATGGAAGTAGATATTCTGATTACAGTAGCATGCCTTGCCTGTGTGTCAATAAAAAGAGTCTGTGCAGGGAGAGGATGAAAAAGTGCCCTTACTTGCAGAGGTGACAGACTCAGGTTTAGATATGGATTATATAAAGAGAGACTGAAGAAGACAGAATTTGTGAAAGAAGGGGACATATGTCAGAGATGTTGGGATCAGCGAAATAGGGTGCCACCAATGTACAGAAGATGCCACTTGAGGGTGGTTGTTTTTTTAACCTTTTAATTAGAAATTTTAAAAAATTCTGAAAAAAGAAGCTAAGGATGGGTTAGGTCTGCTTCATTTCATACATTTGATATGTTTATGAAAAGTCACCTGTAAATCTGGTTGATAGAAATCAGAATATGTTGTGATCACTTTAGGGACATGTTAGAAGAAACTTTTGGGAGAGTCTTTGTGGAGCAGAGGCCTTTCGAAATATAAATGATCACTGGGTTGGTTTGTAACTTGGTATTCCTAACCAGCTGGGGGGTAAAACCAGGAAATTGTTATGTAACTTCCTCCACCCCATTCTATGTAAAGAGAAGTCCTTATTAGATGAGAGTTTACTTCTTTATTTAATTTATTCATGGTTGGGAAGTGATGATATAACCTACATTTAGAATGTATATTACAATAGTTCTGTGAGGTAGATGATAGAGAAGGTATAAATTTTTCAAGAAGTACTTAGCACGGTGTCTGCAATAGTGTAGTTACTCAGATAATGTGCATTGGTTGAGTGAGGTATGTTGAGAAACTGAAACCGTGAGTCAAGGTGAGTGGGAGTTCTAACTTTTCTAGAACAGTGAATCAGTGGCAGAAATAGCAGTGGAACTCAGATTCTCTGTATTGGTGCTGTCCAATAGAAGTGATGAGGCACATGTGTAATTTAAAAGTTTCTAGTGGTTATATTCAAAGAGTAAAAGGAAATAGGTGAAATTAATAGTGTACTTTATTTAATCTATCACATTCAAAATAGTAGCATTTCAACATTTCATGAATGTAAAAGTCATTGATGTATATTATATGCTTTTTTGTCTTTGACATGGGCATAATTTAACACTTACACAGCCTGTCTCATTCTGACCACTTTTCAAGTGTTCAGTAGCTTCACGCAGCCAGGGCTGCTGTATCCGACAGCTCAGCTCTTTCCATCACACCTCACTGACACACATGGTGTTTTCTTTTGATACACTCAAGGGAACAGGACCCATTATGTATACGTTGTAATTAAATTGCATGTCATTTGGAGAGGAGAGAAAGTTGAGATTAGAAATAAAACATCAAAATTATGTTTGCTGCCCATATTTTGGCAATACCTGAGGCCGTGGAAAGCAGCCGGATAGCTATTCACAAGGAAAGATGGATGAGGCTAGACCACACCTGAAAAGGGTGGCGTTTAGTAAATTCAACTTCAGCGGACACCTGTCATGTATTACCACACTCGCCATCAGGAAGACCAATCACAGGACTGAAACACCCTGAAAGCCGTGCTTTTGCCACCTGGTGGTCAGGACAAGCAAATGCAGGCATTCATTTACTGGGGCTGCTATCAGTTGTTTTTTAACTTGAAATTTAAACTGATTCTCTGTTTTTGTCTAAGCTCATCCAAAAAGACCTATTACTGTTTTTAAATGTTGGCCTTTTGCCAAGGGGATAATAGATCTGGACACTTTAACTCATAGTTGTATTTCTCATGATTGTCCTGAAAAATACTCTTGTATTAGTGAACTTCGACAAAAAGCTAAAACAGTATTTGGAGGGAGAAATGGAATTTCTGATTTCAAATAAAAGGGAATAGTCGTGTCAGCATTAAAAATAAATAGGTTAGTGTGCAGAGGCTTTGTTCCCCTTTGAAGATAAGAGAAAGAAGACAACTTATAAAACTTCGGAAAATCATCCAGTTGTTTCTGTGGGCCATGCCCCAGCTCCCACCCCACATCCACACACACCCTGAAACTGTTACACCTGGATGAGTAATGGAACTTTGGTCCTATGACTGCAGTTCTAATCCTACAATAAAATAAGTGATGGACTTTCATAAAAGTGGTAATCACATCTAAAATTCAACCTACGGATATCTGTGTATTTTCCTAGAGAAAACCTAAGCAGAATGAACTGCACCTAAGTCAGTATCTGTTCCAGAGTAGGTGCTTATTGTTTGTTAAATGATCGACTTTAAGAAAGCCTGCTTAGGGGAGGAGAAGGTAATTAAGAACGACTGATGGGAATATAGCTGTGTATTCTTCCCAGGGAGCTTTTCAGAAATACACTATGTTTTGAGATATTTTTGTTTCTTTAATTTCAGAAAATAAAGCAGTTGGAGTGATGAAGGCGGGCCACGTATTTACAATTGAGCCAATGATTTGTGAAGGTGAGAAAAAAGGATGCTATGTTCTTTAAGTGAATTTGTATTTACTTTTGGTTACTAATGCACAGATTAGTAGTCTGCTCTATTTCCTTTTTGTTCCACTTCCACTCCCTGTCCTATCTCAAACTTGATTTAGTGTCATGTAGAGAGCTGAACGTTGTAAGGGTTGACAGGGAAGCACTACTTTCTCCTGCTGTCAGTAGATGCTAAAGTACTTACATCCTGGTCCCTTTTCATAAAGATACTGTCAAAGGATGCATTGTAATAATTAATTTTTAATTTTTTTAATTGATTGATTTGAGAGAGAGGGAGAGAAACATCAGTTGGTTGTTCCAGGTATCTATGCACTCACTGATTGCTTCTTGTATGTGCCCTGACCAGGGATCAAACCTGCACCCTTGGTGTATCGGGACGACTTTCTAACCAACCTGAGCTACCCAGCCAGGACCTGCATTGTAATAATTAGAAGCCTCCATCAGACCTGTGTAGAAATTCTAGCTTGACATGTGGGATAGGTTGGGGGGTGGAGAGGAAGAGAAGTAGACCCACTCACTTTGAGACAGACACAGTTAAATTATTTAATTCTCCACAATTTAGGAGGTGGGTGCTGCCCCCATTATACAGAAGAGCAAACTGATTCTTTAAGAGGTTAAGGAACTTGCCTATTGTCATTTAGCTAGTTTCATGGCAGATTTTGTTGGACTCCAGCGTCCTGAGCTGTGTTCTGCCTCTGCAGGGTCTGCACTCATATCAGCAGGTGGTGTCCTGCAGGTATCATCAGGGAGGGAGCACGGCACAGTCACACTTAGCGCTGGCAGTGTTATGTCCTCACAGTTGTTATTCCTTGATATGCTTGTGGCACGGATGATAGACTTAGAGTCATGATTAGTGCTCCTCACAGAGGTGCCAGAGTGGTAAGTCAGGTTTGCTTAGTGAAGCTTTCACCATTCTTTTGTGCCAGTTGGTTGTTGGCATTAGGGGATGCAGAGTGAGGCAGTAGTGGTAGGTAGTGTGTCCTGGACCCTCTATGAAAGGATAAACCTCTGGATCCTTCTAGTCTTTTTTATAACTTAATCTTGGGAGAAACATCCTATCACTTCTATCAGATTCTCTTCCTCAGAAGTGAGTCTGTAAATCCAGCCCACACTCAAGTGGAGGAGGAGAGCAGTGGAGGTCATTTGAGAGGCTGCTTTCTTTTCTGTAAAATGGAAATTACAGTCTGTATCCTGCCAACTGCTCAGGGCTTCGGTAAGCATTAAGTGAGGTGGTCTGTATTAACACTGGCTATAGTTAGTCAGGTGCCAGAGTTACACCAGGAAAGAGCTAAATTCATTTATTCAATTTTTTTTTTTTTTGTACTTCTGTGATGAGTGGTATGAATATATTTTCTGAAGTGAAACCCAAAAGTAGTGCCTTTATTCTGGAAATGCCATCTTGATTGGATATTTGGGAAGTATAAAACATGTCAGGTTAAAATGTGCCTGTGGTAAATTTAAATATTATCAAAAGCTATAGCTCAAACTTAGTTGTAAGTGTAAATAGAAATTTTAGTATTGAATTTTCTAATGGATTTTCTGTGATATCTAAGGACATAGGCAACTCGGATACACTTACCTGGAACTTATCTAGAAAACTGAGTGATGGACTTAAGAAATTGTTTCTGTTTAAGGTGGATGGCAGGATGAAACCTGGCCAGACGGCTGGACCGCGGTGACGAGGGACGGGAAGCGGTCCGCCCAGTTTGAGCACACCCTGCTGGTCACGGACACTGGCTGTGAAATCCTAACCCGGCGGCTGGACAGCGAGCGGCCTCACTTCATGTCCCAGTTTTAATTTTTTCTGAGTTGGCAGATCTCAGCAGCATCTTCTGGCTGTACTGTGCTTTTTATTGAGAGTACAGAATGGAAGAGGAAATTTTTTATTACTTGTTTTGTTTTGGCTATAGGTAAGGAAATACTACAGCATTTGACATGTGTCTTCAAGAACTTGTCTTGGGTCTGGAAAAGCCAAGAAGAATAAAGGAAACGTTTTTCAACTCCTTTCAGTGTTTCCCCCGTGCGCCCTTCCCAAATCTCTGCACTCTATGTTTTCTCATTTGCCCTTTGAGCACTTTTACTTAAACCGCTTCTAGTTGCTTTTATCACTGCCACAACGGGGCCAGCAGGAGCCAGCTGCTTTCCAGATAGATGAATGTGGAAGGTGAGAATCCATGAAACTTTAGCAACATATGTTGCCTCAGATTTTTTTTTTATTATATAGGAAATGTATATGTATACATTTTAAATTCCATATATGTAATTACTGAACACTATATGACCTGGGGTTTGTGTTGATTCACTCCAACAGGGTCATAAGCTGTCATAAATGGACCCACAGTGTGCAGTGATTTAATTCTTAACTGGGAATTGGCCTCCCTCTTCCCCCATGTTAATTATTTATCCATGTAGTTTTGTGTAAGGAAGCACTCAGTCAGACTCTGTGTCAGTGAATGGATGTGGCAAAATTTACTCTGGAAAAAGGTTATTAGGTTTTTCAAAATCTAGTTTATGGCAAAAATAGTCATGCTGCAAGTGGCAGTGGCTGTTGCAGAGCATGAGGATTTTGTAATATATTGCTACGTCAGACCTCTCTTTGGTCAACATGAGGGGAACAAAGTTCCCTTTCTTCTACTCTATTTTATTTCAAGGACACACGTTGGAGATATTCAGAGAAGGGTGGAGGTTGCACTGTGGAAGTTGATTGGGAAAACCAGTTCTGGAATCTCTCCAGCAGTGAGCAGAGTGAGTCAGCTGAGATGCTAGCCTATAACATGTAGTAAACCTGGTTGTGATGAGAAGGAAAACTCTTTGAAGACTGAACTGGTTCCCTGCAGTGGGGATACAGCTGTCTTTGGAGTGCTGAAAACACACTTTACCTTTACATCGCTGGGAACCTCATTAGAAACGACCTCAGCTGCCCAGTATCTATGTTCCTTTCAGTAGTTCAGTCCAAATGCGACTGTATCGCTGAAGGCATATTAGATCAAAGTCATTGTCATTAGAGTATACTTGATTACTGGGATTCAGGTGACTTCTGTGTAAGATAACTTGATACCACTGACACGTTATACTTGTACGAAAACATCTTTCCCAGAGTGCCTCAGACCTTACTGCTTTAAAAGAATTATGATAATGTTTTCATTTTATTATTTTAATGATTTAGTCAAGTGACCGAATCTGGTATAGACTTTTGGGGATATGCGTGTGAAGTTTTTTATCAAACTGTAATATTTGTGAATGGAATGCCTTGCAATATGAATATTAATATAATGTGTAAAGGGAGATTAAAAAGTTTGAGTGATTATCCTTCCACGTGTTCATTAACTTCGCTGCATTTGTTTGGGATTTCAGAGGGAAGTGGTGGGAAAGGGGTGGCTGATTGCATAATCTAAAACTCAATGAGCATTTGAAAAAATACTTTTTCAAGTTTATTAGTGATATAAAAATTCCAGTACTGTGTTTAGTTCAGCAGAGTCTACCAGCAGCATTTGAGGTGCAACCATGGTTTTTAAATTTTTTTTATTATTTTTTATTTTTTTAGGAGCTATTAAGACAGAATGCTGAAAATTTTGGGGGGCCTTTTATGTACTGATAGTGGAATTAAATGTGGGCTGATTCATTGCCTATCATTACAGAAGAAGCTCCAGGTGCAGGTCGGTGTGGCTCAGGTCACTGGTTTGATTCCCAATACAGGGCACATGGTTGGGTTGAGGGCCAGGTTCCCGGCTCAGGGTGTGTGAGAGACAACCAATGAGTGTATCTCTAGCACGTCGACATTTCTCTCCCCCTTTTTCTCCCTTCCTTCCCTTCTCTCTAAAAAAACATAGGTAAAATCTTTTTTAAAAAGAAGAAACTCTAGGAGAAAAGTCTCGGTGGGATAGTTTTTTTGTTCTTGTTAAAACACCTTACTGGTGATGATGCTTTTCTCAGTTTGCGAAATTTAAAACAATATGGGCTCTATATTAATTGTCTATATCTAGCTGTAGATGTTTATTATATTTAGATAGGAAAACTCAAATTTCATCCTTCTGCCAGCTTCTCAAAATAAGCCAGTGTGTTAACTTTTTTTTTTTTTATTAACTTTAAAATAATCTTTTTCCTGCCAGTCCTCCATGCCCCTTTGGAATTACAGTTTAGAAGGGAAACATGTTAGGCTTTTAATCTCATTTTATATATTTTGCTGAAAAAATGGATTAAGGTTTGTTGGAACTCATTTACCACCACCTTTATACCACTTGCCATCCACATGTCTAAGTTAATAGGAAAAGGAGATTTAGGAATTTGTTTGCCATCCTAACTTGATTCCTTAATTTGCTTATAATCATTTGTTTTTTCATTGGTTTGGTTAAAATTGAGAGCAGGATGCTCCACTTTGCTAATGTCTGTATCCTCATGGTGTCACTAAGGTATTTTTTTTCTTCTTTTTTTTTTGAAGGTTTTATTGATATTTAGACAGAGGAGAAGGGAGGGATAAAGAGAGGGAGAGAAATATGAATGTGTGGTTGCCTCTCACACGCCCCCCACTGGGGAACCTGGCCTGTAACCCAGGCATGTGCCGTGACTGGGAATCAACCAGCAACCCTTTGGTTCGCAGGCCAGTGCTCAATCCACTGAGTTACACCAGCCAGGGCTTTTTTCTTATTTTTTTATTTCCAGTTTTTTTATTTTGAAAATTTTAAGTTTACAGAAAAGTTGAAAGTATGGTACCATGAAATCCTTTTTTTTTTTTTTGTATTTATCAATTGTTATTTTGCCATAATCTCTATAGGCATACTTTTCACTTGAAAGAAGTGACATCATACTTCACCCATTGCTATTACAACATGTCTTTCTTAAAACGTAAGGACATTTCCTACATGATTATAATACAGTTATCACACCCAAGAAATTTAACATTGATACGGAATTGTCTAATACAGCAATTTTTCAACCTTTTTCATTTCATGGCGCACACCAACCAATTACTAAAATTCTGCAGCACACCAAAAAAAAAAGTTTTTCAATAGTCTGACAAAAAAAAACAAGTATAATTTTGTTTCATTTATACTGGCCGGTTATTATTGTGTTGGCTGTTGTCATTTTTTTTAATTGGACAGTCTAAGGGAAAAGAAGAGTGTGTCCATGACTGCATATTCAAGTATTGCAATTTTAATTGCAAGTTTAAAAACACTGGTTGAAAATCGCAGATCTAATGTATTGTACATGTTACAATACAGTATAACAGTACCTGTTCTTTAAAGCTTTTCTTTTTTTTTTAAATCCAGGATCCAAACCTGTGGCACTCAGTTGCCATGCATATGTAGTCTCCTTTACTCTAGAGCAATTCTTTCACGTTTTAAAATTTTTAATGAAATTGTCACTTGAAAAAGCAAGCCAGCTAGTTAGTTAGTTTGTAGAATTTTGTTTTCTCTGATGGTATCTCACTGTAGGTTCAGGTTAAACATTTTGGCAGGAGACACCATCATGGCATGTGTTATGTTCCATTCATTGCATTACGTCTGATCAGGAGGCATATAATGTTGTTGTCACATTATTGCCAATGTAAGTTTATTACTTGATTTCTGTCAGACCTTTTTATTTTAAGTAATTCGGGAGGAGATACTTGGAGACCATTTGGCTATCCTGGTTACTCAATGGTTTTATTGTTCATTGATTAATCCTTGCCAGAGTCCATTATTTTATTACATTGGTTGCTGCAAATTGGTACTTTATAAATCTAGCATTTCATCTACATTTTTAGCTGGTGCTCCTTACAAAGAAGTACATTTTTTCCTCCCTCTACCCATCTATGTGAGTTCATTGGTTCATTTATACATTCTCTTTGAATTACTGTAATTGTTGCGGATTTGTCAGCAAGAACACTTTTAAGCTTATTCACGGTTTAGTTTGACCTGTGCATATCAGTCTGTGAGCACTTTCTTGCTTTTTGCTATGGCAAGATATTCTAGGTTCATCATTCACTTTGCTTACCGCAGTTACCCTCAGGCTGATAATTGGCTCTTTCTTCAAAGAAAAGCCTACTTTGTTTTTTGGAGGAATGATATTTGGAAATCAAGATCTGGGTGCTATTAGGGTGTCCTTGTTTCTAGGCCCTTTAAGGAGGCAGAGCCAGAAAATGCATTGTTTACACATCTTGAGTTCCTTCAGATACTTTTATTTCAAATCCAACATTCATCTGTCTTCCTCACCTTTTCCTGTTCCCTCTCTGTATCTTCCTTCTCTTGATGGGGAGAACTTTGGTTTTGAACAGCATCGATACTTACTATTTGGTTGATTCTAGAATATGTAAAATTATTTCAGAATTACTACATGAAAACCACTACAAACAATAATAAGGTTATTAAGTGCAAAGTATGTGATTCTTTTTATTCTTGGAATATATGTCACTGAAGGCATGCAGAGCATTGGTTCAAAACTTATTTGGACTTTGGTCAAGATGGCACTATAGGCAGACAGGGTTCACCTCTTTGCACAACCATATCACAATTACAAGTAAAATATAGAACAACCATCATCACTCAGACGTCAGAAATCAAGTTGAATGTAAGTCTGAAAACTATGGAATTAAAGAACCCACATCTTTCCAGACTGGTAGGAAAGGGCGCACACACGAACAGGCTAGTCCCTCACTCACGGAGTGGTAGATAAAAATTCGGGAGGGATATCTCAGGAGCAAGGAGTCCCAGTCCCACAACAGGTCTCTCAGCCCAGGGCTCCAGTGCCAGGAAGGTAAGTTCCACAACTTCTGGCTGCAAAAAACAGCAGGGATTGAGGGTGAAAGAAACTGTTGGAGCCCCAAGCAGTTCCTCTCAACCCACACATAGACTCTCACCTACTCAGACTTACTTCCTCTGGACTCCAGTGCTGAGGGGTAGTAGTGGTGTGTAGCGGGAGGCTGAAGTGTCTGGCATCAAGGCGAGTAGAGGTCATTGTCCCTTCTCTGGGCCAATCCCCTACACAGTTGGCAAGCTGGTGCCATATCTGAGACTCCGTCAACTGGCTAACACTGTTAAGACACTCCGCCTCCTTGGAGGTCCCCAGAGACTCTGTGTCACCTAGCTTATAGGCCCATCCAAGATGCTTTTCCATATGAATGACTGGTCTTGGCTCATGCTTTACAACTTCCTACATCCTCTCAAAGAAGCAACATCTGGCCTCAGTGAGTCCCAGGCCTGGCACTAACAGCAGCCAGCCTAGAGTCACAGCTCAGCTTCCCCTGGGAATCTCCAAGCCCAGAACAAGTAGCAGCTATCTTAGAGTGCTTTATAACTCAGGTTGTCCCTGAGTAAAACACAGGTGGGGGCTGAGCTTGGTCTGCACTGCCCAGGAAACTCCGGGGCCAGTACACCCAGTGGACAGCTACAGACCATATTGGAGCAACACCACCTGGCCCCTGTGCAGCTGATACTCCACTGAGGGCAGAAGTTGGTGGTAGTGGTCATAGCCAATCCTTGCAGCTCACTGGCCTGGATAAGTCCCTCCCATTGGCCTGCCAGTAGCAACCAAGTGTCAACTATAAGAGGAAGGTGTACTCAGCCCACATGAAGGGCGCACCTCAAGTACCCAGTTGGGGTAATGGGGAGGCTGTGCTACTGGCCCCTACTACACCCACTGCATTAGGCCACACTACCAAGAAACAAAGTCAAAGTAGCTCTACCTAATACATAGAAACAAACACAGGGAGGCTGTCAAACAGGACAAAGAAACATGGCCCAAATGAAAGAACACATCAAAACTCCAGAAGAAGAGCTAAAAGTAAGAAGCAATAGTGGAGAGTTCAAAACATTGGTTATAAAGGATGCACAAGGAACTTAGGACCACAACAGCATGAAAAATATCCTGTCAGAAATGAAGGATAAACGGAGTGAACAATTTACAGGGAAAAACGAGTGGATGAAGCCAAGAATCAAATCAATAATTTGGAACATAAGGAAGCAAAAAACAACCAATCAGAACAACAGGAAGAAAAATGAAACCCCCCCCCCAAAAAAAAAAACAAAAAATGAGGATAGTATAAATAGCCTCTGGGACAACTTCAAGAGGTCCAACATTCTCATCACAGGGGTGCCAGAAGGAAAAGAAAGAGCAAGAAACTGGAAATTTATTTGAAAAAATAATGAAAAAAAACTTACCTAATTTGGTGAAGGAAATAGACATGCAAGTCCAGGAAGCACCGAGTCCCAGACAAAATGAATGCAAAGAGGCGCACTCCAAGACACATCATAATTAAAATGCCGAAGGTTAAAGATAAAGAGAATCCTAAAAGCAGCAAGAGAAA